TGACTCCAATCTTGATAACGAATAATAAGGATCCAAAAAGAAAACGAAGATAAATACAAAAATATCTATTATTCTTTTACTTAAAATGTATCATTGTTTAAAGGTCCAATTAGATTAGTTGAAATGAGATTACGTTTTAACAGTAATTAGGCTTTTGAACTTTATTACCATCTTCTTTGACCATGTTCAAAGCAAAACATGTTGTTTCTTTGCTACAACAATGTAACATAATATCTGTTCATTGAAATCTGAAATATTTGGTATATAACGTGTGAAATTACCTTTCATTGCAGAATTGATAACATATTTTACTGCAGTGTTTGTGAAGTTGGCACGACATTTTTTAAATTTAAAGAAAACCATGATAGTTCTAGTAGCACTTTTCATAGTTCTAGAGTTCCTGATAGAAAATAAAAAGAGTTCGGCATTTTTACTATCAAAAATGGCAAATGGAAAATTGTCGTGCTAACTTCACGAATTTAGCACGACACTTCCTCCTCTAAAGTATAAGAAATCAATAAATATCACTGCTTTTAGCAAGTGTTCCCAGTAGTTCTAATTGAGTTCCACCTCTGTATGTAATTAAAATAAAAAGTTCCAATAATTACGTTATTTACATTAACAACGTAAATTGTACCTAGCACAACACTCGGGGAAAAAGTGTCATGCTGATCATTTCTAGCGCATTTCTCGGTATATATTGACAGTTCTAGATGAGTTCTAACAACTACGATCGTTTTTAGACAAAGTTCCAGTCGCTCACTATTTTTAAATAATTTTTTAATCAAAAATTTGTTTAAAAATAATTAGTTATTAGAACTAGAACTGTCGATATATACCGAGAAATGTACTAGAAATGATCAGCACGACACTTTTTCTCCGAGTGTCGTGCTAGGTCCGAAAATTAAAAAATTATTTAAAAATAATTTTGCTAGATTCGTGAAGTTAACACGACAATTTTCCATTTGCCATTTTTTGATAGTAAAAATGAGGGACTCTTTTTATCTTCTATCAGGAACTGTAGAACTATGAAACGTGCTACTAGTGGTCTGTTCTTTGTAGCTGCACTGTTGAACTGGTGCAATAAGTTAAAGTGAGACAAATATAGGTTTTCTGACTCTAGCTTATTGCACCAGTTCAGCAGTACAGCTATAAAGAACAGACTATAGAACTATCATGGTTTTTTTTTAATTTAAAAGATGTGCCAACTTCACATACACTTTACTGCAGTGGTTCTGAGAGCATACATTGCAATATTGTTATGTTTCATTATAATATTTTTAAAGATGAACATTTCAACATTGTTGCAATTTTGCAACAAATTGCAGATATATTTTGCAACTTCTATGCAATGTTACAATATTTTAATGTAATGTCTTTGCAAATAATAGGAAGCTGTGAGTGTACAAAGTTTACTGTACTATCTTACCACATTTTTCATGTTTCTGTTTCCTCGTAGACTCTGAAGGCCCATCTACAATGGCTGCAACAATAAGGTTCTAAGCGTAAGCAATAAGAAATAAACCAACCATAATCGATTATTATAAGAATATTTGCGAAAAGAATTATTATAAGAATAATCGATTATGGTTGGTCTATTTCTTACTGCTTACGCTTACAACTTTATTCTTGCAGCCATTGTATTGGGTGAGTGCAAAAGTTCGTGCGGAATTTCAATAGATGGAGTTATAAGCGTCGTAAAGTGTTGTCATTAATACTTCCATCTACATATTATATAACGTTGGAAAGGTGACGCCTTCAGCTGTTATTAAAAAAAAAAATCATTTGTTTTCATACAAACTGCTTCGAGAAATATCACTTTAAAAATGAGTATCGATAAGGTGCATTTACGGCATGTTATGCTTTACGAGTTTCGGAAGGGAATAAACGTTGCCGCAGCCGTAAAAAACATTCAGGATGTTTGTCAGGATGAAGCACCAGCTAAACGAACTGTGGAAAAATGGTTTGCTAAATTTCGGCGCGGAGAATTTAACCTTGAAGACGAGCCACGCTCTGGTCGACCTTCTGACATTGATGACGATGTTTTGCGTACTTTAGTGCTCAATAATCCGCGAATTTCAACAGAAGAAGTTGCTACAGCACTAAACGTTGACCGATCAACCGCTTTTCGGCGTTTAAAAAAGATGGGATTCGATTTGAAGCTCGATATATGGGGGTGCCCCATTTGCTGACCGAGAAGAACAAAATCAAGCGAATTTCTGCAGCCGTTTCTTTACTCGGGCGGCTCAATAGCGAGTCGTTTTTGGATCGACTAGTGACGGGATGAGAAATGGGTCCTCTACAACAATGTTCGGCGCAAACGGACATGGAAACAATCAGGTGAACATGGTGACGCAATGCCAAAGGCCAGTTTGCACCCGATGAAGGTGATGCTCTCTGTTTGGTGGGATTGCAAGGACATAATCTATTTCGAGCTTCTCCCCGCTGGCGAAACGATTGATTCGGACAAGTACTGTCGCCAATTAACCAATCTGAATCGAGAAATAAAAGAGAAACGTCCGATTTTGTCAAATCGCAAGGGAGTCGTCTTTCATCACGACAACGCCAGACCACACGTTTCGAAAAAGACGCTGCGCAAACTGAAGAGCCTGAAATGGGATGTCTTAACGCATCCACCGTATTCTCCTGATATCGCATCATCTGACTATCACTTGTTCCGGTCATTGCAAAATTATTTAAATGGAAAAAACTTTGACTCTTTGGAGGCCTTAAAAAACGGCGTCTCTTCGTTCTTCGAATCTAAACCGCGCAGTTTTTATGATCGAGGCATCCGTATGCTGCCAGAACGTTGGGAAAAGATTATAGAAAACGATGGAGAATATATCATTGATTGAATAAAGATTTTTGTTTGCCTAATCACTGTGTGACTTTTACTCACAAACTCCGCACGAACTTTTGCACTCACCCCATAGATGAGCCTTGACACATGAGATTTAATTAAGAGATTATATCTATCTAGAAAAGTAAACAAATTAATATTTCGGTCTTTACTAATTTTCAACTCTGGTCTTTACCAATATTCAAAAACTAATATTCAAAAAGTTCTAAAAACACATACACATACACATACAAATCCAAATAATTTTGGATCAATGTTTCAAAAATTTATAAAGCTATATAATTTTGAACAAAATAAGTTTGATCACTTGCATATTGATATCTGACAAAATTCGCGTAATCACTTGCATATTGATATCTGACAAAATTCGCGTAATCACTCCTCTTAAACTTTGATTTTTTTATTTAGATAGAAAACAGAAGGAAAATAAATGAGTCTTCTGTTTTTATTTACAATGAGAATTTACAATTAGAAAAAAGACCATGTTTGAGTTGATTCAATAGCAACGCTTAAAAAACTACCTGAAAGTATAAGTGGCATATTAATTGCAAAAATTACTGTGTATATATTTAGTAAAAGATGTCCATTTACATTCGAATCATAAATAATACAAATAGTAAAATTAGCAATAATTGCGCTACATATTATAAAGTAAAGGAAATTTAATATATTTATTTAGCAGACGTTCGAATGCAGGAATCGACATATAAGAGAAAAGAATATCTTGCATACAATAAAAATCATCTTTATATCTGAAATTGCTATTGCTATTGCTATTTAAAATACCTTAACTTCTAGAATCAATACATAAAAAGATACCAAAAAGTTCTTTTGTTAATTATAAGAAAATCATGGTTGTCAAGACTTTAAACGTGATTCTTTTAAAATACAATTTTCTAGATCAATGGATACCACATCTTGAGAATTACTCTAAAAATTTATTTAAAATTTCCAGAGAATATTCTTAAAAACATTATGAAATCATTGACAGTCTTCCTTTTTCAATATTAATCTTAATTTTTCTATAATTAAAGATAAACAATTTCATCAATCAATAGAAATATTAAGCTTATTCTTCATATTGCTACTATTAAAAAAAATATGGTATACAAAGCTGGAAATCATTAACGATCGTCATTTTTACTTTACTTTAATCCATTGAGTTATTTTACTTTAGATACGTCATTTAGATTGAATAGTGTGCATTACATGGAGGACCAATATTTTTAATAAAACCACACACACCACATCCCCAATCGACAGCGAAATCTTTTATAACTATTTTTCATGAAGATTTAAGAAAATATGCTTAAGAAACTTATTTTTCTCTCTTAGTAGAGAAAAAAATTTGTTTTAATTTCCTTTTATATTTCTCTACAAAAAATATTTTTGGTTTTATATTTTTTCTTTAAACCTTTAGGTAGATGTAACTTCTTAATAATAATTTTATTATATGAAACACGAAAAATTATTTGCATAAAGTATTTTTGCAAAATACGTTGAAATAAAAATATATGATATGCAGTCGATTGAACAAATTATGAAAAAAGTTTCTTTTGCTCTAATAATTAATAGCTATAAAATTATCATGATAAAATCGTATAATCAAAAAAATAAACCACATAAGCTACATGTCGATTTTAGTTATAATTATATCTTCCTTTGACGAGGGAACGTTAATTAATAAATTAATAAATATAACTACGCCATTCTGCAGAAGGATTTGAGTGAATATTATTTGCTAACGCGAATGACGACTGCAAAGATTTATCAAACAATTTCATACTAAAATTATGGGTTTAGAAGAACATGTGAAGAGTGACGACAATTATATCGAACAAAAACATGTCTTTAATATAATCATATATTTAAAAATCTTAATCACATGTCTGTTGTTACATAGAGCAACAGATCTTAAGAGTTTCTAAAATCACAAATGATTTTTTAGTACAATACTGTTTTAAATGAATATGAAAAAAGAAATCCAACGCATCCTATTATGTAGATGTGTAATATGAGGAATGTCAACGGACATGTTCCTCTTCATGTTAAAATAGATTTAATCAAACAATTTACCAAATATTTTAAGCGAACAGATTGTAAATGCCTCATGGATGTTTGAAAAGAAAAAAAAAGCAGATACGTCATGCAGATGTCGTCCAGATTTTATTACACATAATAACAGATATTATACTAAACGACAATTTTGTCACGCACAACGATTACAACAGCTGATGCAACTGAATACACTGCTGAACATAGTGACTTACTATAATTATGTATTTCAAACTATTATACAAAGCATTTTGAAACACTAAAATATTACAATTACAATCATTGCTGTGGCTGTTGCTGGTCGTCGGAGGCTAATTTGGAAGGTTTCGCTTGAAACTTGTTAGATTCTGTCTCTTTGCTCTTTTTATTACCATCCTCGGAGTCCTCCTCCTGTGGCTTATTCCATTCCTTTAATCCTTCCGGTAACGTAGTGTCTTCTTCGAAAGAGCCAGTACCTTCAACAAATTCCTCGTATGTGGATTTCTCGCGAAAAGGCCGTGCTCCGAGTAATTCGATCATATCATCTCTACTTAAAATTTCCTGCTTCAGTAACCGTTCTGCAACCTGAAATTAAGCGATATTACTAGGAGAATATAGTTTCGGATTCATCGCACTGAAGTTTAAAGGATTTTAACGAGTTCAAAAGTTTTGGTTATTCAAGTAATAAAAATAAAATCACCTTTACCTTGATTACATCTTCTTTATGTTCAGACAGAAGAGTTCGCGTTCGTTTATGCGCGCTATCGACCAAACTACGAACTTCATTGTCGATGAGTTGGGCGGTGTACTCGGAATATGGTTTGTCTAAAACTACATCTCCTGGTTTCGGTACTTGAAAACTTACGTTCCCAACTTTCTCGTTCATACCGAATTGCGTGATTTGTGCATACGCAATTTCTGTAATCTTTAAGAAAAGTAGATCGTGTACTAAACAATACTGCGAAAGTAAAAATACCTCAAAGCATACAAATATAATACCTTCTGTAAATCATCTTGGGCCCCTGTGGTTATACGACCGAAAAATATCTCTTCTGACACTCGCCCACCGAGTGTCATACACATTCGATCAAATAACTGTTCTTTTGTATAGAGATATTGCTCGCGCGGCAAATATTGTGCATATCCTAATCCTTTGCCACGTGGGATAATGGATACCTAAAAATGATAAAAGTTTGATTATAATGGGGAATGTAATTATTATTATTAATTGTAATACTAATAAATTATTATTATTAAGAATACTATTGTTTAGCGGTATTAATTATAACAAAAAAGATGTACTTTTAGAAGCGGGTCTGCATATTCCAAAAACCAACCAGCTACTGCGTGACCAGCTTCATGATATGCAACTGTCTTCTTCTCCTCAGGCTGCAATACGTTAGTTTTCTTCTCCATGCCGGCGACTACTCTCTCGATAGCTTGTTCAAAGTTTTTCAATTGAATGTTGTCATTCAAGTCTCTGGCTGCTATTAGAGCTGCTTCGTTGCAAACGTTCGCGATATCAGCTCCTAAAATAATCTACATATGATATTCTGATAGTTTTGATATGATATTTTAAGTTGATGATTGCTTAATAACTATGTAATAAGTAACATTAAGTAATAAGTAACATTAAATAATAAGTAATATTAAATAATAGTAAATTATTTAAATAAAAATAATTTTCATATATTCAATTATGTACCTGTGAATCCAGGAGTCAAAGAAGCCATTTTTCTCGCTAATTGATCTTTATCTAATGTTGTTTTTAAAGGAGCTAAATGCACTTTGAAGATAGATGCTCGGCCTTTAATATCAGGTGCAGGTACGAATATTTGCCTGTCAAATCTTCCAGGTCTCAACAACGCTTTATCTAAGATATCTACCCTATTAGTCGCCGCTAAAACGACCACGTTAGTCGTTGTATTGAATCCTTAGAAAAAATAACGAACATAGAAAATAATATTAGAAATTACTCGATTTTTATCTTTATATATCATAAACTGTAACAAACCATCCATTTCCACCAGAAGCTGGTTTAAAGTGTTTTCTTGTTCCGAGTGTCCAGCGAAATTTCGACCTCCTCGCTTCCTACCTACTGCATCGATTTCATCAATAAATAATATACACGGTGCATGCTTTCGTGCCATAGAGAACATATCGCGCACCCTAGAAGGGCCAACACCTACGAACATCTCTAAAAATTCAGAACCCGACACTGTAATGAAGGGTACATTCGCTTCACCAGCTGTAGCTTTTGCCAGTAACGTTTTACCAGTACCAGGTGGCCCTATAAAAAAGATATATTATATGCGTGTGCGTGTTTGTATATGTGAGCGCACACATGCGCATATACGGGGTGTTAGAAAAGTCTGGAAACGGTCAAATATCTCGAAAACGAAACGTTTGAGAAAAATGTTTCCAACCAAAGTTGTAGGATTTTAAAAGTTCTATTGAATGATCATATCCGTTTAACCCTGAATGCAGGGATCAAGGCGAGGTCAAAGCCAACATGACTTTTTTAAATGGAATATCCTATTTTTTCACACAGTGTTAAAGATGATAGCGAGACGTTTCCAAAACATTACTTGATGACCTATTTTTGTTGAGAATTGTCTGAGTTATGAACTTTAGAATTTACGGTGCCGCCAGCATTAGTATTATTCAGGATGTAGCGCATGGAGGTTGCATGGTCAGACTTTACACGTGTGTGTGTGTGTGTGTGTGTATGTATGCGTGGTGTGTGCGTGCGCGTGTGCGTGTGTGTAAGAATAAGGATGAGTTCCTACAAATAATTTGTAAGTCTAATGACAATTTACAAATAATTTATTACAATGTGTACGCAATGAAACCTGCTAACTCGGCCTCAGGAAACGCATACCGCACCAAGTAAATCTTATTTCACCAGAAATGAGACGAAACGTTTTAAATGAATTTCACCTACGATTAGGTCATTGTCAAGCAGCAGACGGAAGACAATTTGAACACTTAATTCAGTAAAAACCCGTCTACATACACACATGCGCGCGCGCGCGCATACACACAACAAAGAGGGTTTGGAGTCATTAAATACTGACAAGGAGATAACGCAACCTGTTTCATCGATTTCAACACGAGTCATAGCACACTCGATAGCTATAATGCCGTGTATAAACGCCCTAACATAATATGCGTGAATGCGTCTTTGTTTACGAGTAATTTGCAATTAAAGTTTGGCTCGCGGAGCCGTGCCCCGCATAGGGCGCAAGTTACGACACTCTTTCACGAATCCGGCGTGGCTGAGCAGACAGAGGCTCCCGCGCCACGAACACTTTTGCGCCGACGACGGCGTTCGAGTCCCGCCGACGACTGGTTCGTTTTTTTTTTCGTATGTAAAGACATGTAATAAGTATTTCTATATTGTTCTTATGTATAATTCCTTTTTTTCTACGCTATTAATCAAGGCTAATTAGGAGAGTCAGGTCTTTCAAATATGAACACAACTTTTTTATTAATTATAATAAAATGTTTTTGTCCGTATCAAAACACATATACACACACATAAGACAAATATAAGGCACACAAATGAAAGTTACGTATTATAAAATGTGGTCATGCTGTCGCAACTCTGCAGATGGAATGCCGTATAAAAGCATGTAAAACATAATAGTTTTTTGCACCAACTGCACGTAATGAACGCATAATTTTTTGCACAAATACACTTTTGACTATGTATAGTTTGTGGAAAACATATTTGATTGACGTTGTAAAATACTTCGCGACTGTCAACAAGACTGGACGGAAATTGTATCAGGACATCTGCAAATATGAATTCAATATAATTGATATTGTATACAAGGCCAATAACAATACGTACAAATATATCTTTCCATTGCTCACACATTCAATATATTTACCTCGAAGATATTCTATTGCGTCCGTCAACTCTTCTTTCGTAATATCACATTTTGCTAGATTTTGCACATAGCTGATCGTTGCTTCATCTACAAACGTGGTTTCCATTTTTAGCACGAGTTTTTCACTGTTCACGTTACGAAGACTGCCCAGAGAATGAAGTGAGCACGTCACAAAACATGAGAATCCCTCTGCGAGAAGGGGAAAGGGAAGAGGGTTCCTTTCCACTTGTAACGGTTCTAACGGCTCTCAGGTTTCTCTTACACAAAATAATCACTGTCTGACCATTTCTTTCCCATACCATACGAAATATTTATGCGAAATAGATTTACGCGAAAAGAACATTTTATTGTAATTAATAAAAAAGTTGTGTTCATATTTGAAAGACTTGACTCTCCTAATTAGCCTTGATTAATAGCGTAGAAACAAAAAAAGGAATTATACATAAGAACAATATAAAAATATTTATTACATGTCTTTACATACGAAAAAAAAAACGACCAAGTCGTCGGCGGGACTCGAACGCCGTCGTCGGCGCAAAAGTGTTCGCGGCGCGGGAGCCTCTGTCTGCTCAGCCACGCCGGATTCGTGAAAGAGTGTCGTAACTTGCGCCCTATGTAGGGCACGGCTCCGCGAGCCAAACTTTAATTGCAAATTACTCGTAAACAAAGACGCATTCACGCATATTATGTTAGGGCGTTTATACACGGCATCATAGCTATCGAGTGTGCTATGACTCGTGTTGAAATCGATGAAACAGGTTGCGTCATCTCCTTGTGAGGGAGTAACGAACCGCGGGGTCCTTAACTCTGCTGATACACACGCGCGCGCACACACACATACACGCACACGCACACGCACACACACACACGCGCACATACACGCACACACATACACGTGTAAAGTCTGACTATGCAACCTCCACGCGCTACATCCTGAATAATACTAATGCTAGCGACACCGTAAATTCTAAAGCTCATAACTCAGACAATTCTCAACAAAAATAGGTCATCAAGTAATGTTTTGGAAACATCTCGCTATCATCTTTAACAATAAAATGTGTGAAAAAATAGGGTGTCCCATTTAAAAAAAATCATGTTGGCCTTGACCTCGCCTTGACCCCTCCACTCAAACGGAATATGATCATTCAACAGAACTGTTAAAACTCTATAACTTTGGTTAGAAACATTTTTCTCAGAAACGTTTCGTTTTCGATATTTGACCGTTTCCAGACTTTTCTAACACCCTATATACATACATACATATATACAGGTTGCGTGAAAAGTTCGCGGAGCGAAACTGAAATAAAGAATGCCTAATTCTAAAAATGATTTTATTCTTCAATATAGTCTCCATTAACTTCAATACACTTGGCCCAATGGCTCTCCAATAATTTTATTCCATTGCGGAAGTGTGTTTCTGGAAGGTCTGCGAAATATGCCTCTACGGCAGTTATAGCTTCTTCATTCGCCAACAAATGCTTTCCATGGAGGAATTGTTTCAGGCTTCGGAACAGATAGAAGTCACTGAGTACCAAATCTGGCGAATATGGTGGATGATCAAGCAATTTGTACTTCAATTCATTGAATTTAGATATTGACAAAACACTTTTGTGAACAGGTGCGTTGTCTTGGTGAAAAATGATTTGTTTGTGCTGCAAACCAGGTCTTTTCTCACGAATTTTTGCGTCCAATTGATCCACAAGGTTACAATAATATTCAGAATTAATTGTTTTACCTTTTTCCAAATAGTCAATTAACAAAATCCCTTTAGCATTCCAAAAAACTGATGCCAAAACCTTTTTTGCCGATCTTTCATGCTTTGTTTGCTTTGTAGCTGAACATCCAGCTTCAGTGCACTATAAACGTTCCTGTTTCAATTTAGGATCATGGTGATAGATCCAAGTCTCATCCATAGTTATAAAACGACGCACAAAATCGGTTTTATTCTTCTTAAAACGATTCAAATGACGTTGAGAAATTTGCTTTCGAGCGAGTTTTTGTTGAATTGTTAATGTATGCGGCACCACTTTTCCAAACACCTTTTTCATTTATAATTCTTTATGCAAAATATGCCGTACCCGTTCATCTGAAATGCCTATGCTATGAGCAATTTCATACGTAGTCACACTTGGATCTTCAGAAACAATAACATGTATTTGTTCAATGATTTCTGGTGTTGATGCACTTTTTGGACGTCCACTGCGTGGATTATCTTCGATGCTTGTACGACCACGTTGAAACTCAAGTGTCCATTTACAAACCATTGTTTTTGAAGGAACAGATTCCCCTAACACATTTACCATCTCGGAATAAATTTCCATTGCCTTTAAACCTTTTTTAACAAAGAACTCAATCACTGCACGCTGTTTCAAATTTTCCATTGCAAACAAATATACTGACACGTCAACTTCAATTGGCTTGTAAACACAGAAAGAATTGACAGATGGAAATGAAACCTAATCTAGGTTTATGTGAAGAGTGATTCTATATAACCGACTACAATTTATAATTCTACCATTTATTTATAGATGCCGCTCCGCGAACTTTTCGCGCAACCTGTACACATAGGGTGTCTGATAAAAAGTGCATCACATTTTTCTCATAAACGGTTAGAGATAAAAATATCCATTATCAAAATTGTAGGACAAGTAGGTACATGCTTTGAAAATCTTGAATAACCTTGAGTGTTGATTTTTCACCAAAAAGAGCAAAAAAAGTATTTTTAATATAAAGGGATATAATTTAATCATTTCATAGATAATACTCAATGAGCTTAATATAACTTTTATATCAAAATATCTTTCGAAAATTTAACTGTTCAGATAATCAACAAAATTAGAAATGAATGGGTGTTGAAAGTAAGCTAACTCCTCCACTATTCATGAGAGATGATACAAAATTACTTCTACTAACCAATTTGTTTAAAATTATTTCATTGATCTGCGAAATAACCCGATTTAATATGTGAGAATTTTTACCTTTGAGGAAGAGTGAAAGAGCTAACTTTTACTTTCAACATTCTACTATATTGTAGAAAACATAGTAGAAAGAATAAAAAATATTTTTCGCAAAATAACCATATAATAGTTAGAAGAGATATAAGCAAGTTTTCCGCGAAAATTATAGGCGTGTCAACATAGTGAACATTTTGAACACTTATTGAAATGATAAAAAGATCGGTTCCAAATTTTCTGACTTATAATTTCGTTGATATCCTCCATAGTGAATATTTTGAACATTTATCGTAACAAAAAGGTCAGTTCCAAATTTTCTGACTTATAATTCAATTCAACAACAGTTAAAGTTTTGAAGGTTATTTTGATATAAAAGTTATCAAGCTTATTGAATACTATCTATATAGTGATTGAAATTTACATTTAATTTACTTCTTTAC